CGGGGGAGGCCTGACCAGGGCTTTGAGGGCATTCTGGGGCTGCTCTGGAGGAGTGTCAATCATAACAATAGCATCAACAAAATAAATGATAACAGTAATATTGATAGCTAACATTTATTGAGGGCTCATTGCATGCCACCAACAGTACCATGGGCCTTTGTTTAATTTTCTTAGGAGGTAGGTACTAGTCTTATCTCCATTATTATTTTTTAGAAACTTTTTAAAATATATATATATCTTTATTGATTTCAGAGAGAGGAAGGGAGAGAAAGAAACATCAATGATGAGAGTCACTGATCGGCTGCCTCCTGCACGCCCCCGACTGGGGATCGAGCCCGCAACCCCAGCATGTGCCCTGACGGGGAATCAAACCACCATCTCCTGGATCCTAGGTGGATGCTCAACCGCTGAGCCACGCCCGGCTGGGCTTATCTCCATTTTATGAAAGGAAATTGAGGCAGGCTTCCTTCCACTTTCTTTCATCCCGAGTCCATGCCCTTCCTTGGTGTAATAGTTTGGGACAAATAGGAAATTTGAGTGTAAACTGATATGATGTATAGAATTATTAATTTTCTTAGATGTGTCAATGGCATCATGATATGAAAGATGTCTCTTTCATGAAGTGAACACTGAGATATTTAGGGGTGAAGTGTTGTCTGTAACTTGCTTCAAATGGCTCAGTAACCCTCCCTTTGTCTGTTTTTGAGCCTCTCTCTCCTGCCCATCTCCAGCCCCACTGTACAGCCTCACAGTTCTCACCTCTCTTCATCCTCCTGCCTCCAACCCCACCCCTCCATTCTGTCCATCTGTCTCTCAACCCACAATCAATCTCTCTCCCTGTCCTCAGGAAGACTTAAATGCACTCTAAAACCCTACTTTCTGGCAGTATTCTCCTTCCCATCTCCTTCTTTGCCCCCATGGTTAGTGAGCAGAAGTGAGGCAGGAGTAGGGAGGGCTGGGATGTGGGGGTAGAGCTTGAGGGTCCCCAGGCTGGGTGGTTCAGCCCAGGTGGCAGGAGACTGAAGGGCACTTCCTGCTGGGGTAGGAGGCCCTTACCCTCTGACCAGACTGGAAAATGTGACATCAGAGAGGGGGCAGTAAAGGAGACAGGAAGAGAGGAAATTTGACACCTCTCCGGGGTGACTGAGAGGCCTTCGCAGTGTTTCCCACCTCCCGTTGCCCCTACCAATCCAGGGTTCTGACCACTGCACCCCTGGGAGACCCTCATCCCTTGCTCATGCTGGAACCATGCAATCTCCCTCCTCTGCTTCATCTCTGCCCCAGCCTCTTTCCCGACCTCCAGCCCACAGGTCTCTGGGCTCTTTCTAAAGTGCAGATTTGCCCGGCTTGCGTGGCTCAGGGGTTGAGCGTTGATCTATGAACCACGTCATGGTTCCATTTCTGGTCAGGGCACATGCCCAGACTGTGGGCTCCAGCCCCAGTGGGCGGCGTGCAGGAGGCAGCTGATCAATGACTCTCTCTCATCATTGATGTTTCCATCTCTCTCCCTCTCCCTTCCTCTCTGAAATCAACAAAAAAACAAAAAGTACAGATGCGTGATGCCAGTTCCTTGCTTAAACTCTCAGCTTCTTGGGGCTGGCTGCTGCCTTCTGGATAAAGTCTAAGCTTACTCTGGTGTTCAAGGCCCTGCAGTGGACAATTCAGACAGGCAGAAATAAGCTTGGAGCTGGGAAAAGAGATGGGAGGAGAGACCCACAGAGAGAGAGAATTGATTCAGAGATACAGATGCATAGAATAGAAAGAGACAAACAGAGGGACACTCACAGAGGAACAGAGACAGAGAAACACTCAAGGAGACCCCAGACACACAGAGCAAGAGAAGTCGCCTGGGGTTCAACAGAGTGAAGAAACTGGGAAACAGACTCAGATCCAGAGGGTGAGAACTGCAGACTGGGAGAGACAATGACAGGAGAATAAGACAGTCTCAGAAGTGACCAGTTCCTCCAGGAAGCCCCCTCGACTCCCAGGTTGCACCCTGAGCTCCCCCATCCCAACCCTGACCACTCTGAGCTGTCAGTCTGGCAGTGGGCCTGTCTTCTGCCACTGGACCAGGAGCTCTGAGGAAACAGGGCCTGGGTCTGTTTCAGTCACCAATGTGTCTCCAACACTGTGTAGGCCCTAGGTGAGTTTGCTGAAAGCCTAGAAGGGCAGGGCGCAGAAGACCCCCTACGCTGGTGCTGAGAACACAGGCTACAGTCAGACGAGCATGGGTCTGGGCCTCAGCTTCCTCTTCTGTGAAATGGGCTGCACTCAGTGTGCACTTATGAGGTTTCCAGATGTTACAGGCCCATCTGCATTTCTGTCTGGGTAAATTTTCAAGGCTCCCCATTATTCCCAGGTAGGGGATGCTAAGCCTTGCACCCCAGAGTGCTCCCAAGCCCAGCCAGGGATGGAAATGAACAAAAATTTATTGACACTGGTTTTGGGGAAGATAGGTAGTGGGGGGTTTTCCAAAGAGAACTGTGGGGAGGAGCCAGCGCCCGGCCAGGTGGGAGCGGGTGCCCAGCCACAGACCCTATCTTAGGCCCAACTTCTTCTTCTCTTTCTGCTTTTTGCGCACCACATCCAGGTTCCGGTCTTTCCACATGCTCTTGCGCAGCTTGATGGGGCGCGAGCCCACGTACTTCCCTGTGGGAATGGAGGGTTCAAGGTCAGGTTTGGAGTCTGACTTAGGCCAGATGCCTACCACACCCACTGTCCTTAGGGGAGGCCTCACCCACCATTCATTTCACGCATGGCTCGCACGTAGTCGCTGGGGTCCTTAAAGCTAACGAAGCCATAGCCCTTGGTCTTGCCTGTGCGCTTGTCGCGGATCACCTTAGCCTTAAGGAAGGATGGGAAGCGGCTGAAGGCGCGTGCCAAGATGTCATCATTCACCTCATTGCCCAGATCCCCACAGAAGATCCGGAAGTCATCTGCGGTTGGGAGAGAGAGGTCAGAGGACGCAGATGCCTGGCCAGGGTTTGCTTTATTTAAAGAGCCCCACCTTCTCTGGAGGCACCCCCCAGCCAACCTTCCTCTGTATCCTCAGCAGGATACAGATACCCTTAGTAATAACAGCCAACACCTGTATAGTATTTACCCTGTACTAAGCTCTGCACTAAGCACNTGGCCCCCTTAGTAATAACAGCCAACACCTGTATAGTATTTACCCTGTACTAAGCTCTGCACTAAGCACTCATGAGGTTTTAACACACTTGGCACTCCCAACAGCCCTTACTCCCAACGACCCTTTTATACTGAGAGTTCAAGTGACTCAACCAGGAAGTGGTAGAGCTGGGACAAGAACTCAGGCATCTGGCTCCAGAGTTCTTACTTTTAATTAATTGCACTACCTTTCCCCACCCTAGGGTCATCTTACCCATTCCCTGTCCCAGCCCTGGCCTCTTCTCTAAGCCCTTGGCCTCCCTTGGTCTCCTGGACAGTTCCCCATGGACATTCCCTGGGTCCCTGACACCGCTGGCTCCCATAATGGCACCCTAGTACCACAGACTTCATCTTTCCTCAACTCTGCTTCCTCTGCAAAGCCCACTCTTAATTCCCACTTGAATCTCTGAAACCTGGACATCACCCGATCTTTCTCCAAGGCTGACCTCAGTTGCCATCTCCAGACATATCCTCTGCGCTGGGCCTGAGCCTCAACCGAATATGCTTACCCCAAAGAATAATCCTTTCCCCACAAAGCTCATATTATCCCTTGTTGATGAGGAAAATGACTGGAAGGGTTAAGTGACTTGCCCAATGTCACAAATCTAGGGTCTACATCCTGTACTGGCCACATCTGGGCCCAGGCTGCCATGACCCTTGTCTGGGGTGATAGACTGTCCCAGCAGAAGAGGCAGAAGTCTAGGACTGGGATGGGAGGTAGCTACCTTTCCTTGGCTACAGCTGGGGTTACCCCATGGTTTCTGTGGTAATTAAGGACACTCTGAGAACAAGTTAGGCCAACCCAGGAGAAAATAATCTGACAAACTCAGAGGGTGAGACCTTCTACTAGACAACTGGTCTGAACACTTCATATAACTATTATACACAAGACAAGGCAGTAGGAGGGAGACCATTCTCATTAAAAGATAATCTCATTAAAAGATAATAAAACTGCATGTATCCTGATTTAGGGGAAAATGGCTATAACAGATAGTGTGAGGGAAAGCTGAGTAAATTTGAATATAAATGGAACATGAGATCCCATAGAATTATTGTGATAATTTTCTTACATGTGTTTATGGTATTATGACATGAAAGAATGTCATTTTTCTTAGGAGACGAATACTGAGGTATTTAGGACCAAAGTGGTAATTTATAGCTTGCTTCAAATGATTGAGCAAACCACCCAAAAACACATAAACACACAGAGATATAAAATAAATATAGCAAAATATTAATTGCTGAATCTAGGTGGTGTATATATGGCTGTTCACGGTGCAGTTCAGCGTTTAACATTTTTCATAAGTTGGGAGAAAAAAGAATGTTCTTTTACCTTTGGCAAGCCAGGCCCCTCATGAATGAAACAGGCCAGAAGTCCTAGGTGCCAATCACCTCCACCAAGTTCTGTTCAGTGGCTGGGTAAGGGCCTGCCCCTCAGAGCCACAGCCTAGTCCTCCATGAGGTGCTAACAACCGTGCCTGCCCTACAGAGAGGAGGCATTTGGGGAGTTACCTGGTTCACCTTCCCTGTTTCTGCCCCAAGGAAGAGAGCTTGGCCTGACTCTGGCTGAGCAATGCCTGACCTGGACTCTGGCTCACTTACCTGCATCCCACTCCAGCAGGCTGGGGTCTTCCCAGCTGCTCCCAGCCGCTGTGCGAATGCAGCGCTTCAATTTCTCTGGCTTTCCTTTCTTCTTGTCCTCACCCAGAGGCTCCGGGACCTGCAGAAGAAAGAGGAGCGAAGGTTTGGTGTGGGAGTCTTTTGGACCCACCTGCCGCCCTCCCAACCTTCCTTTGCCTCTTGCCCTCCTGCCTCCATAGTTAAAGGACTGGATGTGCTCCCATGTGTGGGTATATGTTTCTGCCACCCTATCCCCCATGTCCTTCTAGCCCCTCCAACTTCCCGGGCCCCTCCTCCCTCCATCGATAGAGGACTACTGTGTTTGTGTGTGTGGAAGCCCATAGGCTCCTGTCTACCCTCCCAGTTCTTTCTATCCCCCCCACTGTTGTGTTCCTTGCTTACCTCAAGAGCCATGAGGCCAGGGGGTGGCTCAGGCCGTGGGGGCCGGGGTCGTGGACGCAAGGACAGGAGCTCAGGAATGCGTAGTGGGGGCAGCAGGCCTCGAACAACTTCCAGAGGGAGGGGCAAGGGCTCAGGCTCAGGCAAAGGCATGGCCAGAGCCAGTGGTAGGCTGGGCCCAATGACGGCAGGGCCGGTTGGGGCGCCTCCTGCCCCCACAGCTACTGCTGCGCTAGCGTCCTCCAGTCCAGCTGCTGCCACCACTGCCTCCTCCTTCTCTTTCAGGCCCAACCCCAAGCCTAGGCCCAGCTCTCGGGGTGTTGCTGGCTCTTCCTGTGGGCAAGGGGTGGGAATGAGGGGGTCAGCTCGAGGCTCAGCCCTTACTCCCATTCCAATCCTATACAACAAAGCAAGGGCCTGGGGGCCAGAGCACAGGCAAGAGATACTGAGACAGAGAAAGGAGTCTCTAGTCAGAGACAGACACAGGGACACAGACATACAGACACAAGGACAAAGAGAGGCATCAAGACAGAAAAACAGAGAGGGACAATCAAAGGGAAAAAGGAGATACAGAGATAGAAATACACCCATAGCATATATTTCTCTCTACACTTTTCTCAAAAAAAGAAAGAAAACAAAGATTTGACCACAGAAATACAAGGAAAGATAGACGGAGATAGAGAGTGAGAAGGCAGAGACACAAAAAGGCAGACTTAGACACAGTCCATCAGGCCAGGATCAAGGATCTCCCCACCCACTGCACCCCTGACCATCAGCTCCCTGTCCATACTTACCAGGGGAGGCCTCAGAGCAGCCATGGAACCCAGGGGAGGCCCCGGGGCCCGAGCCATCGGTGGTAGCATCATAGGTGGTCCAGGGGGCCCAGGCAGAGGGGGGCCCACAAGGGCCTGGTGAGGGGGCCGCAGGGCCATAGGGCGAGGACCACCTGCTGCAGAAGAAAGAGCAGAATCTGTCAGGGTGTTAGTGGGGGAGTTAGAGGGCATAGGGGGGATTATGTGGCAGGGATGATGACCCTTGCCCCTCACCTGCTCTCTGAAGCACATGGGGGACGAAGGCCGGACGCAGGATAGGGGCCCTCTGGGGGGCCACAGCTGTGGGAGAGAGAGATGGGGGTGTGTGTCATGGGGGACCAGGGTACTTGGGGCAAGGTGTGTGTGTGTGAGGGTGGTACTCTCAGCATCCAAAAAATCCTGGAGAAGGGTGTGGGGAGCCATCTGGAAGAGGCAGGGGTCTTTTCATTTGTGCATTCAGCAGAAATTTACCATTGAGGATCTCCTCTGTGCCTGTTCCTCACCTGGGCAATGCCAGGGACACACCAAAAGACCAAGGGCTCTTCAGGAGCTCCTGGTCCAGAGTAGGAGGGAATAAACCCATTACCAGAGAGTGTCAGCCCAGAGTGATTAGGTCCAGGATGGGAGAAAGTCCAGGCACAGTGACTGGGGCTAGAAGAAAGCCCACAGAGTAGTGGGAGCCCAGAGGAACCCTCTGACCTATCCAGGGGAACTAGAGAAGGTTTCCTGAAGAAAGGGACCTGGGAGCTGAAATCCAAAAGATAATGAAGAATCAGGCGAGAGATGAGTGGAAAAAGTACTGGCAAAGAAGAACACTTATAAACAAAACCTTTCCCCCTTTTTGGTTTGGTATAATTGTAGTAGAGGAAGCTGTGGTTAGAGAACATAAAAGAATGGTTGAGAGGTCAGCAGGCACCCAAGCATAGCCTTTTAGCTGAGCCATGAATGTCCTCCTGAGGGCACCAAGGAGTCACAGCAGGGTTGGAAGCTGGGCAGGGTGACAAGGCCAGATTTGTATTTTGATCAAAACCATACTAAAGAGTAAGAGATGTTAAAATTTCTCAGATACCAGATTTTAAAAAGTACAACAGAATTTAAGTAACATGTTTGATCTGATATTGCACCTGAACTTTAGAGAACACATATCCTTTCACATACATAAGGAAGTAATACCACAAAAGTTGACTATGTATATAAAGTTCACCTCAACAACATAAAGTAAGAATGGCCTATGGAGAGGTTAGATTTTAGCTGACTTTGGTTAGTTTGATTTTGGTTTAGTTGATAGGTTTTAAAAGGTTATAGTTGGGTGACACAACAGCAAGCAGAAGAGAGAACATGAGCATTGCTGGCACATCCCAACAATGTTTAAGGCTTCTGGGGAGGAGGTAGGAATCTCTCTCTGCAAGGGACCAGGTGATGTAGGGTCTTGACTGGCAGGTGAAGAGCTTGGTGCTTGTTTGATGGTTTGTTCATCTCAACAACAGAAAGCATATAATGCTTACTATGTGGCGGACATGAAGACTTCTGCCCCTCATGGAGCTTATATTTTAGAGGAAGCAAAAGATAATAAATAAGTAAATTGTACAGCTTGTTATAAGGTGTTAAGTGCTATAAAGAAACAGTAAAGGGTAGGGATTAAGAGTGATGGAAGGACGTTGGTTTGCAATGATCAGGTTAAGCCTTATTAAGGCCAAAATAATTTGAAATACATAATCAGGTTTGTGCTTTAGGAAGGTGACAACATCAGGTTGGGGATGAAATGAACAGGGTGAGTTGGAGCAATGAATCAGGTAAGAGGCTGAAGTAGTTGAAATATGAGTGCTTGTTTAAATGTGGGTTTCCTGGCCCAAGACCTACCTGCTCGTCGCAAAAACATGGCTTCTCGAGCCTCTGGACTGTCCAGGTGACTCCGATCACCAGGGCCAAAGCCAACTGTTGGGAGAGGAGAGACAAGGATGGTGGGAGGAGAGTCCTGGGCATCCCTTTTTACCACTCTACCTAAAACCCTGGCTTCCTCACCCCACCACTCCTTACTTACCTGGGCCCACAAAAGGAGGGCCACCCACCATGGGAGAAACCACTGTGGCTGCCGCGGCTGCCCGGGCCTCCAGAGTCTGTTGGACCTGTTGGGAAGGAGGTTGGGGTAAGTCTGACTCAGTGCTCCCAAACTGCCCTGGCTGGCTGGCTGTCAAGCTTTAGGGCTTAGTTAAAATGGCACTTTTCAGGGAGGCTTTTGGGATCACACCAGCTAAAACTGTCCTTAGCCCATCCTTAGCAGCAACTTCTCTCACTATCATGCTGCTTCACCTGCCCCATAGCACTTAGCACTATCTGAAATTATGTCCAGCCTGTCCTCCCCATCTCCCATGCCACCACTCTGGTCTAAGCCGCCATTGTCTCTTGCCTTGATCATTACAGTAGCCTCTTCCTCAGACTCCTTGATTCTGCCCTTGCCCTCCTGTAGTCTGTTCTCCAAACACAGCCAGAATGACCCTGTAACATCTAAGTTGGATCATATCACCCCTCTGCTCTAAATCCCTCAGTGGTTTCCCATCTCAGAGTGAAAACCAAGGTCCTTATGGTGGCCTACAAAGCCCTACCAGATCTGGTGTTCCTGTCCTCATCTCCTCCCATTCTCCATCGCTCACTCCACTCCTGCCACACTGTTCTCCTTGCTGTTCCTTGAACATGCAGGTATGCACCTGCTTCACGGCCCTTGCACTAGCAGTTTTCTCTACTGGAAGTGCTCTTCCCCCAGATATCTACATGGTTCCCTTCATTATGTCCTTTATATCTTTGCTTAAATGTCACCTCTTCCAAAAGGCCTGCCCTGACTGCGCTGATAATCCTCTGTCCTTCTGACTGTACTTTGATCTGTCTCTTCCAAGTAAAATGTAAACTCCAAAAAGGTTGTTCTCTGCTATATATGCCTAATTCCTAGAATAGTGCCTGGTGCATAGAAGGCAACCAATAATTATTTGTTGACAGAATGAACAAGTTTCGTTTAACTGTCTTCTTTTTAGTAGTCTCTCTCTTCACTAGTCATATATAGCTAGCTATTGAGCACTTGAATATGACTAATAAGACTGGGGCACTATCTAACTCAAATATATATTTTAAATAGACATTTCCATCATTGCATGAAGTTCTTCTAAACAACATGCTCTAGAGCTCTCAAAGGGCAGAAATATTGTCTTAGTCATTACTGTGTCCTCAGTGCCTGATACATAAAATGTGTCATGCAAATTAATCAACAAGCCTACATGTCATTAAGTCTCTGTATACAAACACTGTTCCAGGCCTTGTGCTCTCTGACTTAGATGCCAGAGTTCAGACGTACCTGCTGGTATGTGTTGGTCGCGATAATTGGGCGGATCACAGGAGCTGTTGGGATCTGCATCGCTTCTACCGTGGGGACTGTAGGCACTGCAGGCATGGCAGCTGGGATTCCAGTTACCGGAGCCCCCAGAACTTCCTGCTCAAACCTGGGGGAACAGGGCACCAAAGTTCAGGACCTTGCACCAATTCTGGGACGCTGGCTATATCGAACCAGCGCCTTCATCCCTACCAACCTCTCTTTACTCCAGCCCCCACATCCCGAAGGTCCCATTTCCCCAAGATAGAGCCATATGTCGGGCCTATTGCAGCCTGGAGGCTCCAGAGTTCGGCGGCCCCGGCTCTGGGACGACTTTTATCCCGCCCTGTCGCGGGCCTTACAGGGCCATCTCCGCCTCCATCTCCTTCAGGCGTTCTTCCCCACTCTTGCCCGGAATGACGGCGCCAGGTCCCGTAACCACAGGTCCTCCTGCACCCGGGAGTCCCGGGGCCGGCCCCGCCCCAGCCATCGCTGCTGCCTTCGCTGTCGCCGCTACTGCCGTCGGGCCTCCACTGGTTCCGCTGTCTGCTCTCTGGCTTCGTCGGTGTAGGCGCCCACAGATGACCTAAAGCGAAAGCGACGGACGCTGGTGCATGACATCATATGCCAGTCTTTAGAAAGGGACCAATGAGAATCTGTCCGCACCCGGAGGGCCCACCCAAGGAAGAATTTAGACCAATCAGAGTGCTGGAAAAACGAACCAATGAAGAACCTCAGTCTGTGAGCCTCCCGGGCCACCACCAGGCCCATTCCGGAAGTTTTGAACACTTAGGTGGAGGCAGCTGGGCCGGTGGGCTCCCAGTCTGGGGTTGACAGGCAAGGTACCAGTGACTCCCGGCAAGACTAGGGACAGATGGGAGCTCCGACGAGGCGCTTCCTGGAGGATATGACAGCTGAAGGCTTTTGCTAGGTGAAAATTGGATGAGATGTTCTGGGTAGGAGGAATAGTTCACGTAAAGGCCGAGGCGGTAGTTAAGAATGTCAGCTCGGGTCACGTGTGTAGGTTTGGCCTGTGTCCTTTCTTGCGACACAGCTGACCCCTCCTGTTTTGGTAGTCCTCAAAATGCTTTATTATGGATATTTTAAACAATATGCAGCAGTAGAGAAAATAACATAACGAACCTCCCCTACCTCTCCACAATTGCTAACATTCTACCCTCGTTTCATCTATTTCTTATTTTTTGTTTAGTTTTTTGCTGAAGTGTATTAAATTCCAGCCATTTGTCAATTCACGCTTCATGATGTTTCTCTAACAGATAAGGACTCTTAAAAAAACGTTTTCAAACCCAAGAAAATTAATTTCTAAGTATCGATTTTCTCTGCCTCAAAATGTCTTTAAACAATAGTATTGTAAAATCAGGATCCAAATAAGAACCACACATTGCATTTGGTTGGCTGGTCTTTTTTTTTTTTTTTTTCCAAAACAATTTTATTGTCTACCTTGGTTTCTTGAGGTTTCAGTCTGTCAGCACAAATGAATGCTTTGTTAAAATACTGGCTTTTGTTTGTTTCTGTGCTAGAGATATAAGAATAGGAAGCCTTTTAAAAACGTTAACTAGAGTTCATATTTTATTCAGATTTCCTTAGTGTTTACCTAGTCTCTCTTTTCTTTTTGAGCATTATTACATTTAGTTGTTTCCTTCAGCTTCTCTGCTTGACAATTTCTCACACTTTGTTTTTCATGACTTTAGCAGTTTTGAGTACTGGTCAGGTATTTTTGTAGAATCTTCCTAATTTGGGATTTGGCTGATGTTTTTATCATCATTAGACTGGGTTTATGTTTGGTTTGTGAAAAGACCACAGAAATAAAGTGCAATTCTCACCATATTACATCAAGGATAAACACTATCAACATGACTGACCACTGCACGTTAACTTTGATCTCCTGGCTAAGGTAGCATTTGTCAGGTTTCTCCACTATAAAGTTACTTAAAACAAAAACAAAACCCCAACTCCCTTTCCATGCTCTTTGAAAGGAAGTCATTATTTGTTCCCTCACACGGGGAGGGGGAGTTAAGCTCCATCTGGAGAGTGGAATATCTGCATAAATTATTTGGAATTCTTCTGCACGTGGGATTTGCCTATTCTCTGCCGTTTATTTTTAAACCATACCAATATGGACTCATGGGTCTGTTATACTTTGAGTTGTAATTCAATATGTATTTTGTTGCTCAAATTGTTCCAGCTTTTAAAATCTTGTCTTTTTAAATCTATACATTTCCTTTTCCTTGCCGTTTTCTTCCTTCCTCCTTCTCTTTCTCCCCTCCCCACTTTTGGGTCTTCCATGTGTTGAGGAAACTGGATCAGTTTTCCTTTTGGATTTAACTAATTACAGTACATTGTTTCACTTGTTCCTCAGTATCCCTTAGCCCTTTTATTATATATTGTAACAGCTAGAAACTTGATTTGATTTAGGTTTAATTGGGTGAAAGAATACTTCATAGGCAATGCTGTTGTAATATATCCCGTCAGCACCTGTCTGGTTGTCCTTTTTTGGTGATGCCAAAATTGATCAGCAGTGTAATCCTGTTGTATCTGTTTTATGAAGCCCAATCAACCTTTCCACTGTTTTAGCAGCCATCATTACATCTATTATTTCATTAATGTAATGAAAATAGTGGTTTTTGAATTTTATCATTCTCTTTGCAATTATCAGTGATTCTTTCATACATTTTCAAATAATTCCCTACTCATCAGGAATTTGGTTACTTGTTCACGTACAGGAAAGACAGAGAACATGCTTCTTTCCCTATTTTATGAACGACAAAAAAAAGTGAAAATGAGTTGGTTCCTAGCACCTTTCAAAGGTGACCAATGAGGTATGTGTTTATAAGTACCAATATAAACTTACATTTTCAAACATATTTGATGTGCTTCAAACCATTGCAGTCACTTTTTAAAATACATATATATATATTGATTTCAGAGAAGAGGAAGGGAGAGGGGGAGAGAAAGAGAAACATCAATGATGAGAGTCATTGATCGGCTGCCTCCTGCACGCCCCTGACTGGGGATCGAGCCTGCAACCCGGGCATGTGCCCTGACCAGGAACTGAACACTGATCTCTTGGATCCTAGGTCGATGCTCAACCGCTGAGCCACGCCCGGCCAGGCATCTATAAGATTCTTAATGCCAAGGACCATGTGTTGTTAGTGCCGTCATTCCATTGCAGTCATTCTTATTGCTACTCAGTATCTTTGGCAAGTGGCAGCCCCTTTGGATTGCCTCCTGAGTTCTTTTGACTCAATTCCAGCAGTGCTGGAGGTCTTCCTTGCTTTCTGGAACAGGATGCCCCATACTCATTTTGTACATTTTCTGCTCCAAACCTGGAATCAGCCTTTTCCCCATAGATTCCGGGTTCCTTCTAGTCAGAAACAGTAGAGACCACAATCTGGGCACTAGGGTTGCTCATTGTTACTGGGTTATTATATCTAGACCTTTTCTGTGGACTTAGCTAGGGAAATATATTTTTTAAAAGACCCATGAATGTTCATTCTGATATTTCCAATTCAAATGCAAGATTACAGGGTATTCACTTCTTTGATTTTATGTATGTATCTCCTTTTATTTACATAAAAAATTTTGGTCTCCAGGAACATTAGCAAAGCTACTTATCTGCTTTAGTCTAATATATAATTTTGTATTTATTTTAAAATTTCATTGATTTCGGGGGGGGGCATCGATTTGTTTCACTTATTTATGTATTCATTGGTTGATTCTTGTATGTGCCCTGATCAGGGACTGAACCTGCAACCTTGGCGTATCAGGACAACTAACCAACTGAGCTACCCGGTCAGGGCTATATAATTTCAAAATAAGATAATGTAGGGTCTCGAAACTTTAAACCATATGTTTTTTCAAAGTAAAAATTCCAGTATTATAATACACAATAAAAGCTATTGAATTCAGTTTCAAATTTCACTGCAGTTCTTTTTTTGTTAGGATCTATTTACCACTGGAGGCAATCAACTAAAACTACTGTTTTAACATCACCTGAAATAATTCTTACCTGAAACAATTGTGCCACCAATTTGAGACAAAATTAGGATCATTTATTTCAGTTTGTTTTGAATTTTTAGGGATTTCTTTCTTTTCTCTTTTTCTCACTTTTAAAAATCATCATGTTTCCACAGTCAAAAGTATGAAACAGGAACATTTGAGATCGTGCTTCCAGGCAATTATCAGTTTGGGCTCAAATAAACTCATAAAAATTCAACAGAAAAAAGTATGAAACAGGACATTTAGAGATGTCTGGCTTCTATCCCTCTACTTCCTACCTTATTGTCTCCTGGCCTGAATTATTTGGAAGTTGCAGATATCACCCTTAATACTTTCACACACATCCTCTAAGAACATTTTCCCCTATAACCACAATATCATTATTCCACCAAAGAAAAAAAAAAAAAATCCTCACCCAAGGATACATTCCCATTGATTTTTAGAGAAACACTGATGTGAGAAACATCAATGGGTTGCCTCCCGTATGTGCCCCAACTGGGGATTGAACCTGCAATCTAGGTTATGTGCCCTGACTGGGAAAACAAACCCACAACCTTTTGGCATATGGGACTGATGCTCTAACCAACTGAGCCACCCAGCCAGGGCCCACCAAAGAAATTTAATGAAGATATAATATTAAAAAATCCATGATTCAATCAAGATCCCACACTGCATTTGGCTGTCAATCTGAACCAGTCCTCAGCGTATCTCCATTGACCTTCTGAAGAATAGTCTAGTTGTTTTGTACAAAGTCCCACAACTTGTATTTCACCCAGGATAGATTCCTAACAGTGGGACTGTTTGGGCAAAAGGGTAAATGCATATGTATTTTTGCTGGAGATTTTCTCATAGGTCATGTTTTATGTTCACTGAAGTATCAGAGTGCTGTTTTCTCTTAGTCTTGCAAACAAAGCGAGCTGCCAAAATTCCGGGTTTTCTTTTTCCCAGTCTGATAGATGGGAAATGTATCCAAGTGTGGTTTCAATTTGCTATTGTCTTATGATTGAGTTTGAGTATATTTTCTGAAAATAGTCCATTCATATATTTTGCCAGTTTGTCCATGGACTTGGAATTTTTCTTCTCACCTTTGATATTACACACACATGTGCCTGTGCACACACACCCCTGTAGGGTGTGAATTGCAAAATTTATTCCTAGTTTGTCATTTCTTTTTACTTTTTTTTTTTTGCCATGAAAAAGTTTGTTTTTGTCAGTATTTCCCTTTATTGCATCTAGATTTTGAATCATATTTCAGAAAATTTGCCCAATGAAAGATAAAGTAAAATACAGATTGTTAGAAGATGTGCTATGGAGAAAAATTAAGCAGAGATGGGGAAGGACCCCACGTTCAGTAGGGAGGTGGGGTTTGTGAGCCAAAGTAGAGAAGGGGGGGGCACATGGGAAAGCAACTGTCAGGGACAGAACTGAGAGCATGAGGATACTCTGAGGTCAAGAGAGGAGTTGTGAGAAGGGAGGGGAGAGCCAGGTTCAAAAACTTACTGCAACCCCAATAAACCTCCCATCTGTGTTTCTATTTCTTAAGCAAGTTGGGTATAAAGTTCATTTCATTGGGCAAAAACATTAGCAAGAGATTGGAAAACCTTGAAAAATAAGAACAAGATAGCAACTAGCCATTTCAGATACTAAAAGGTATTACAAAGCCTGTATAATTACACCACCATGGGGATGGCACACACAAGTCAGACACTGGGCTTGGAGAGAACCCAGATACAGCCCAATTACTCATGAAAATTTAGTGTATGAAAAGGTAGCATCTCTAATCACCTAAAGTTTTGCTTCATAAAGTGTAGATAGGTAAAGTTTTACTTTATAAATTGAATAATTCACACAGTGAAATGCAGACCTAAAAAAGTACAGCTTGATGAGTTCTGACAAATCTATACACCTGTGTAACTCTACTACTCTCATCATATACAGTTGACCTTTGTACAATACAGGTTTGAGTGGTGTGGGTCCACTTATACGTGGATTTTTTTGAATACATACAGTACTGTAAATGTATTTTCTCTTCCTTATGATTTTCTTAATAACATTTTTTTTCTAGCTTACTTTATTGTTAGAATACAGTGTATAATACATAAAACATACAAAATATGTATTAATCAACTGTAAGGCTTTTAGTCAAGAGCAGGCTAATAGTAGTTTTTGAGGAGTCCAAAGTAAAAGTTCTATGTGGGTTTTCAATTCCATCTGGTGGTTGGCACCCCTAACCCCAGTATTGCTCAAGGGTCAACTGTAATACATTTCTAATTCTAGAAAGTTTCCTTGGCTCTTCCTTTGTTGATCCCTGCCACCTACAACTCCTTCAGAGGTAACCACTGCTCTGAGTTGTTTTGTTAATCCTCACCGAGGATATTTTTCCCATTGATTTTTAGAGAGTGGAAGGGATGGAGGGACGGGTGTGGGAGAGAGACAGAGAGAAACATCGATGTGAGAAAGATTGGTTGCCTCCTTCACGCGCCCTGACTGGCCTGGGGATCAAACCTGCAACGTAGGTACATTACTTTGACCGGTAATTAAACCCACGGCCCTTTGGTACATGGGCCAACACTCTAACCATTGAGCCACACCAGCCAGGGCCTGAGTATTTTAGTAAGTGCTATTGGGGTATATGTAAAATAAGACAAAAATGGATCCATTTGCATAAATTCCAAATGGCTGAGACTTAAATGTAAAAAAACTATATAAAAACTAGAAGACAATCTCATCTCTTAACTTCCCCCATTCCACCCCAAGCTGCACTGACTCCTTGGCTGTCACACTAGCACATTTGCGCTCAGGGCCTTTGCATGCCTCTCACATTTACCGAGTGTCACCTTTGCTGTGTAGCCCTCTATTTAAAATCTCACCTCCTACAGCCTGCTTTATTTTTTTCTCTATAGCTGTTATCTTCCAACATACTAGATATTTTGCTTACTTGTCAGTGGTCTGTTTCCTTGTCCTAGAACGACAACTCCCTGAAAGTAGGGAATTTTGTCCATTTTGTTTAGTGCTGGATCCTCAGTGTTTAGAGCAGGGGCTCAATTACTCCTTGCCAAGGGTGGAAGTGATGAGGAGAGTTTCAGGGGGACCTGGGATGTGGTCCAGAGCACCCCATTCTCTTGGCTTTGGTGGGATGGAAGGACAGGGCTAAGGCGCTTGAGAGGAACAGCAGGACAGCCTGTGAGGAGGAGGGCAGGTGTGTGTAGACAATGGGCGACACACCCAGGTGATGCTTTCTTCCATATTGAGGGAGGGAAGGTTCCAGGGTGAACAAATGTGAAGCTCTTGATTCCTGTTTGAGTCCCCTCTTCATCTGCACAGCTGCTGCAGGGTGCCTTGGGCCTGGACCCAGCGCAACCGCCACTGGGGCAGGGACAGGCCCTGGCAGAGCTCCCCTGAGAGGGCGGCTTGGCCTGGCTGATCCCACCTGGGGAGGGGGATGGTGTCAGAGGGAAGGCCTGAGTCTCCAGACCCTCACTGGCTTCCACACAACATGGCCTGCTTATCACCAGACTCCTCCACAACCCCCCCCATGACCAGTCCTTCCCCCCGGCCCTAAGTTTGGCCTGTTCCACCCAGCTCAGCCCTGCCCCCATCACCAGTCCCCCACAACCCCCTCTCACCAGTCCCCCACAACCCCCTGCAGCTCGGGGATTCGTTCCAGGGCTTGTTCCAGCAGGTTCTCCAGCTGCTTCAGAGCCTGCCCCACATTCTCCTTCTGCTCCTTTTCCTGGGATACACAGATCCGCAGCAACTCTGCAAGTTAGAAGCCCAGGAGGTAGCACTGAGTCCTCTGGTTCCCTGGTTACTTGCAGTCAATGTGTCACCAAGTTAATCTCCAGTCACCTAATCTTGACCTCAGCTGCTCTCCCAAACCTCTCCTTCCTACCAGGTCCTCATCTCAGGGACAAGCCCACTGTCTCCCCCTCTGTCACCTCATCCTGGATGCCTCCCTCCCCCTAACAGACCACCAATGTCCGTGGCCTATCCCTCAGCTTCCTCTCCCTTCCCTACTCATCCCCCACCCCAGCCTCCCTCTTAGGCTCCAGGTCTCAGCTTCTCATTCTGCTCCATCTCTACATGGCAGCCAAAGTGATCTTCCTGAAGCCTAAACCTGATCCTTTCCCTCTCTTCCCTGGAACCCTCCAAGGCTCCCCAGTGCCTCCAAGACAGAGTCCAAGCTCCTTAACATAGTACTTGAGGGCTTGCATCATATGGCTGCTGCTCACTATTCCTGAGCAAAACCTCACCTACCCCCCAGGGACACTTGAGACACCATTTTTCCTCCTGGTAGTCCTTCCCAGCATTCCTCACCCCAAGGCTTCCTCCTCAGACTGCTGTGGCCATTCACTCTAGCAGTGTTTTCCCCTGGGGACTGTGACTAGGTCTAGTCCCTCTCCACAGGCCCAAAACAGGCCCAGATCAGACCTGCAGTGTGATCAGACCCCTTGGGTGTGAATCCTCACTCCAATCCATCCTTGCCTTGTGACATTGGGCATGACACTTGCCCTTTCTTCAGCCACTTCTGTGGTCAGGTGTCATTATCTGAGCCACAGGCTAGTGCGGTGGGGGCAGATTAGAGCACTCTGGAGATGGGACTCAGGGCTTACTGACAGGTTGCAGGTGGGTGGGTGGGGTTAGGGGCCTAGGAGGAATTAAGGAAGACTTCTGGGTTTCTGGCTTAGGCACCTGGATAAGGAGGGTAGGATCATTTATTGAGGAAAGGAGACCAAGCAGAAGAAAAACAAAACTGCTTTTGGAGTAGAGGGAACTAAGTCCCATTTAGGCTTGTTCAAGTCCATAATGCCCGTAAGTGGCTTGTGCTGGCTCCTGCACACCACTCCCTGCCTAATGGAAGGGGAAGGCACAGAGCCTGAAACTCAAAGGCCTGAAAATGATCTCTTTCTACTTTGCTGATGGCACCCTGATTTATTTCTCATCAATTCAACTCTTCTATCTATTTATCCTTTGATTCTTTGCTCTTTGATTCTACCACAAGGATACCCCTGGGGCTGTATCACCTCTCTCCCCATTGAGCTCTTGGGGCCAGCACCTGGTAGGTACCCAGTAAGTGCTTGCTGAGCGAATCCAGGAATGAACAACTTTTCTTAGTTTCCTCATCTGTAAACTGAGTCTTAACAGTCTTTCCATCCCTCATGGTAAGCACTGAAAGAGACTGCGCATGAGCAGACAAAATGACTGTAATCTCATTGTTCAGTGCCCTGTTTGGGTCACCTGACTGTGTCTTCCCAGCAATTCTGTAAGGTACTATCCTTATGCTTACTCCACTGAGGAGGAAACTGAGGCACAGGGAGATCACACAAGAGGCAGTGCTGAGAAGAGAATCCAGGTAGTTTAACTTACAGCCCAACTTTTAACTATTCAAGTATACTATTGGACAGTGACAAATGAGTACTTGGCAATTAGATGGGCAGTATCTATTGGTTAGCACAGACCCATCAGAAGTCACACTGGCTGGAGTCAAATCCTAGCTCTGCCATCTGGGCAGCTACCAAGGCCTCTGTGTCCAGGTCCCTCCTCTGTAAAAGGGAGAATGGCAGCACTAACCCGTGGGGCTGCTGTGCAGATGAAACTAGTGAACATGCTTAAAGCACTCCGAGCTCAGAAGGCTCTGTGTCAGCAGTGGGTGTTGTTTGTGATTAGCTCTGGAGGCTGATGGTCCTGGGAATGGGCAGGATTGCTAGATATAGAAGCAGGGCAGGCCTACCCTGGGTGGATGGTCCTGGTGGTAGGCTGGTCTTCATGTGGAGCAGATCCCAGCACCGAAGACTCCACTGGTCCTGGAAGAACAGAAGGTCCTGGCGAAGAGAGGCAGCCTTTGGAAGGAGAAGCTCTGGCGCCTAGAGGGAGGGTGAAAGGACAATCACCTCGGGCAGGGGTAGGCATGGAAAGAAAGGTCCTAGGAAACAGGCACTCACCTTCCCTGTGGGCAGCCCCAGCATGTGGCTAAGCACTATGAGGTTGGAGCCCCTTGAGGACGCAGGATGCAGCTGGTGGATGGATGGCAGGACTGTGGGCAGGGGCTGCAATCTGGGGGGAAGTCCAGGTTGGGTGGGGCACTGAGAGGGAGGTTTGGGTTGCAGAGGCTGTGGGGGCTGAGGGGTAGGCCTGGGAGGTCCAGGAACTTGGAAGTGGTCTGGAGACTAGGATTCCAGAGTGGGGCTGAGGACTTGAGGGTGAGTTCTGGCAGCCTGGGAACACTGGTGTCTGGGATTATTTTTTTGGAGTGAGACAGTCAACCAAGGAAGGGGATATAGGGGATGACCCTAGCTTTACCCTCCAGGGCTGCGCCGCAGCAGGGTGCCCAGCAAAAGGTGGGGCAGATGCTGGGCCTCCTTCTCTAGACAGCGAAGCAGCTCCTGGCTCTGTGGTGCCACCGCCTCAGACATGGGGACCACTTTTCGCTGAATCAGAGCCAGCACCTATGGGGAAGGGAAGGGAAGGGATGGGAGAGGCAGCCTGAGGTCACCCAGCCCCATCCCTAGGAGACCTGGCCCAACCCAGGCCTCATTCCAAATGCCAACTCACCTCCCCAGGGCTCCGACACAGGCGCGTCTTGCTGGCTGAGTTGCTCTTGATGAGCAGGCGGACCTGTTCCTGTGTCTCCCCCTGAACAACCAGGAGGCCCCCAAGATGGGCTGCTTTTCCTTCCCAACTCCCAGCCTCCTACCCTGCCCCTCCCTTTCCACAGGTCCTGCTTCCTCTTGGGAGACTCACCCTGGACCTCTCCCCTGACCAGGAGGCCCAGTTCTGGATCATAAGGCTCCCGGCTTCACTCTCACCCTCCACCAGGCCCTGCCATTTCTCCCAGAATCCTGCTTCTCACCACCAGCTGGCGCCAGTGCAAGATCCGTTGCTGTTTGGCCTGTAGCTCTTGCAGCAGAAGCTGCCTCCGTCCAGCCGCCTCCTCTAGCTCCTGGCTCTGGGCACACAGGGCCTTGAGCTCTGCCCACAGGCCATAGCCCCGGAGCCCCAGCACCAATGCCTGCCTGGAGAGCAAGCAGAAGAGAGCAATGGAGAGGAAGGTGACTAAGACTCACAGTGGAGAGGGGAGATAAGATCTGCAAGGATGCACAAGGAGCCACAAACTCAAGGACAGCAGGGAGGCAGAGACAAGAGCCACAAGGACAGAAAAAGTCCAATATCTTGAGACGCCAGCAGAGAGATGGTCTAGGGAACTCTGCCCAGGGAGCCTCCTCACCTCTTGCTGGATCCCAGGGTACTTCTCTCCACCTCCTCCATCAGGCTTTGGAGGCGCTGGGTCAGGATGTGATGCTCCTTCAGGAGGGGGCCCCGCTGGGTGACCAGCACACTCACAGCTTGCCAGCCCTCCTGAGGAAGGGGGACAAAGTCAGGGTGGGCATTGTCCCTGGAGGTGAGGGGATGGAGTGGGTCAGGATGGGAAGGGGATAGTCTGAGAAGGGTGCCTGGGGGGTCACCTGGATGAGATGCATCACAGACGGCAGGGCCTTGCTGGAGTCTGACTGGTCTGGTACCTGGGACCTGGGGATGGGGCAAAATTGGTAAAGAAGGAGCCCTGTCCCCTTGCGTCGACTCTTGAGGGTAGCCAATGTCAACCCACCTGGGTTTGGTCCCTGGATTTCAGTTCTACCCCTATCAGCAGATCACTGTGCCTGGTCCTGGCCCTGTCCCAGCTCACCCAGCCACCCACCCTACCTGCCTATGGAAGCACTCTACTACACACCCGGCCATCTCTGCATCTTGGAGCCTGTCCGGACTGCACAGGGACCGAATCTCTGCCTCCCGTTCTGCAGCCAGGTGTTCCAAGGCAGCCAAGAGGTGGCTGGGAGGGTGGTTTGTCAGCAGTGTCTGGTGGGGGGAAGGGTGAAGTCAGGGCAGGATGGGGCAGGGCTGTGAGCTGGGACCATATGGGGAAGGGACAAGGATGAACAATGAGGTCCTGGTACCCTGAAGTTTGATCATAGGCAGTGGATATGGCTTTTTCCAAGAGCCCCCCTCACCTCCACTGAACTAAGCCACTTCTGGTAGGACGTTCCAAAGTGGTCATCTTGAGGGGTTCTGTGGGGTTGGGGGAGGGGACACAGAATGTTATAAGACACATCAATCCTTCCTCTAATGATGACCACCACCCTGTGCCCAGTTTACAGATGAGGAAACCAAGTCCATCTGTGCTTGCTAGACTTGACTTCCCCTCTTATACGAACTCACTAACCATGGGCCCTTTCACATGTGCTGCTTGCTTGAAACACCCCTCAGTCTTTTACCTTTGCTAAGCCTCCTCGCCAGAGATGCGTCCTCCGGGCTTCCTTAGCTGGGTAGGGTGTCTCCTCTCGGTACCGACCTCTCAGGCTTCCCCACCCCCCCTTAGCCCAAACTGCCTGGGTTATCACTGTCTGTGATGGGTCTGTCTCTACCTCTTCCCAGCCTGGGAGCCCTGAGAGGGCAGTCCCTGGGGTTGACACAGCCCAGAGACCCAGTGTCTGAGGAATTAACAGAGAAGTAACTCCTCACCCAGGTTCTTTGTAGGGTTTTTGAGGGCTGGGTGACACTCACAGGATGCTGCCTCCTTTGGTCTGAGGAATCAGGAGGCTCTGCAGGAACTGGGTTCGGAGGGTGCAGGCTGTTCGGACATCACTCTGGGAACAAGAGGATAGGAAATAAAGGGGACCCAAGGGTCCACCTGACCCCTGACTCTCCTCCCCTACCCCCATGGTCCAGGACTCTTACCAGGACCACAGGCTCCAGGCCCAGGGCTGCTGATGTCAAGGGTCCAAAGGTTATATCCACTTTAGCCTTCCTGGAAAGAGTGCAGTTGGGGCTCAGTCCCTGGAAGGAGGGAGCTGGGAGAACAGATGTCTGTGTCTCCTCCTGCTGCCAGCAAAGCTAGTCACAGGGAACCCTGAGCCTGAATCTCAGGGGCCACCTCCAAAATTAGGCCACTGTCATCTCCTGGCTGGATGACTCCATTAGCCTCCTCACTGGTCTTCCTTACTTTAGCTCTCTGCAGTCTATTCTCCACCCAACAGTTAAATGATCTTGTTAAAACCTGACAGATCATGCCATTGTTCTGCTCAAAACACTTGTAAACAATGTGATGTATCCTCATCACCCTCTGAATAATAACAATGGGTAACAGAAACTCTTCTAAGCACTTTGCACGATTTAACTCAATTATTATACCTACCATGCAAAGTAGGTAATATTATCCCCATTCTATAGATCTTTGAAACTGAGGTACAAACTTTGCCTGAGATCACACAGCTATAAGTCGCCAAGCCCGGGCATAAACTCAGCCTGAGACTTCCAGTGCCTCCACGGTGCGGTGCCCACCTACCCAACCTCACCTCCTCAAGCTCTCCCTCTGGCCTGTGAAACAGGCTGAACATGCCCTCCTGGCTGCTCTTCCCACATGTCAAGTTCAGCGCCTCTGCTCCTGCTGTCCTTCTTCATGGAAATTCCTTCCCCAACTCAAATGTTACCTCCTCAGAGAGGCCTTCTCTGACCATCCTACCTAGAGCAGCGTCTCCTTCTCCCCTTCTATCACATCACCTTTTCTTCATAGCACTCATCTCTACCTGCAATTATACGGTTTGTTTGCTTCCTAGTTTACCACCTCTTCTCTGCATCAGTAAGTCCCATGAGGACAGGGTTGTCCCTTGTTTACTGTTCTTTCCCAGCAGTGGTGTTCTAGATATACAGGTGGCACCATTCTAGGCACAAATACAGGTGGCTAAGATGACAAAACTTCCTGGCCTCATGGACTTTAAATCCTAAAGAGTAGAGCCCAGAATTCTGGAACTCAAGAATGGGTCAGGGCAGAGTACTGGGTCTCTAAGGAAAATGTCTCTCCACCCAGCCTCGTGAGCACCTGAGGCCCACCTCTCTATGTCCTGCTGGTGCCTCAGCTGATTCTGTAGCCACTGCATGGGACGTTGGAGTCCACGCTGCTGTCTTCGCATGGCCCCAGCTTGGGCCTGGAGGAGGAGAGCATGCCGCTGGGTGTCTTGTATGCTCTGCAGGGCCTGCTCCATGGCCATATCTGTGGGAGGAACAGGGTGGTCATCAGTACCTCCCCAATACCCTTTCTGCTGCCCATCTGTCCAGCCCCATGAGTCACCCTGAGCCTCCGTCTCTTGATCCATCAGCTCCAAGCTTTGGTCTAACTCCTGGATCTCTGCCCGAAGGTGGGCAACAGCAGCTTCTAGCTCCAACTTCCGACAGGCCTGGTGGGATCAGGTACAGGGTCAGATACATGGCCTGGCCACAGCTCAGCCTGGCCTGACTGTCCTTTGCGGAGCACCAGTCTCTTCACCTGCCCAGGGGGGTGGCAGAGGGTTTTTCCTAGGCAGTTACTGTGTCTGAACCTCTAGGCCCAGAGGAACACTAGGGTACTATCCTGGACCCTCTCCTTCCTCCTGGAATTATATCACTCTCCAACCTGTTTCCTGTCTCTGCACTGATGACATCATATCTCTGTCCCAGTCCTCATCTCCTCATGAGCCCCTCATCTAGGAGTCCCAAGGTCTCCTGGAAGTATCCCCCTGGATGTCACCTGGACCGATACTGAGTCCCACACTCGCCTCAGCATCTCTCCCAAATTAGTCCGTTCTCCCACCTTCCTTCACAGGCTTTGATGCCTCATATCTATGCCCTCCCCTTTCTCCTAGCTCATGCCTGTCTCCCCTGGACTGTAAACCCTGAGTGCATGGATCAGGGCTGTTCTGTGATCCAGTGTCCTCATTATCACCCAGGACAAGGCTGGGCCTAGAGCAGAAGATCTACAATTCCTCTTTTTTGATGAAAGAAAATCTGGTAGCACATAGTTCTCACCTCTGGACTGGATTGGTGGCCATACCTGAGGAAATGAGGCCAGAGTCAGGGGATGACAGAGGCTTCCAGGAGGTGAGGCTGTGGGCGGGGACAGGGATGGATAGGACTGGGGAAGATAGGAAGGGCTAGCTTTGAGGACTAGTTACCAGAGTAGGTTTCCGCGGATCTTCTTGACATTCCTACAGTGGAGAAGTAGGAGGAAGAGGAGTTACTGTGGGACTTGCCTGTGTCCCCTCCCCTGCCACAGCCTCCCTTATGCAGCCAGGCTCACCTCTGGCTGTGCACATGCCGTAAGACATAGGCCCAGATGTCAGCTCCCTGGCCCAGACACAGCCTGTGGGGACAGCATGTAAGGGTACGCCTGGGAGGGTTGTCATTCCCAGGGCAGTGGGGGTGGGGGGTGGGGAGATCTTTACCAGGGAATTCTCACTTCTGGCTGGGAGGGAGGATTCCTATTTTTGGCGCTAAGATATTCCTTCCTGGGTGGGTCACTGAGAGGGTGGGCTTCTCACTGGGTGTGAGGGTAGTCTTATTCCCTCCCTGGTGGGGTGCTTCCCTTCTCTTGGGAGAGGGTTACTTCCAGTCACTTCCAGGGGTGGGGGTGGGGGATATACTGCCAGGAAGTGCTCTGTCATGACTGGATGTGAGCTACCACTCCTATAGATTTAATCTCCAGTGGGGTGGTCTTTGTGGACTCGAGTCCTCACTGGCTGGGCTGGGTGGTGGGTGGTGAGGTGCTGCAGGGATGCCTTCTTTACCCAGATCCTATTTACACACGGGAAGAAGGGCTTCATTAACTCTGGAGGATCCTCACGGATGCCAAGGACCACTGGCGGCCTCACGGGGTGGGGGTGGAGTGTGAGGGTTACCGCCAGGCGTCCTCACTCAGACCCAGGGTCCTCTGCCTGGACGTACTACTCGGGAGGTGGGGGACCGGCCCTTGGAGGGTATTCACACAGGCGCGGAGGAGGAAGGCGCGTCTGTAGAAAAGATGGGGTTCTCGCTGGGAGAGACACTCTCTCCAGGAGGCCGCGGCCCTCACCTGCGCAGCGTCGACTCCGGGGCCCGGGCTGCCTCGGGCGCCTCCATCTCTTCCGCAGCCCAGCGAGCCAGTTCCCGCGCCTCCTGCGCTAACTCCATGGCAGCGCCTCCGCCGCCACCGCCCCGGCCGGAGCTCCCGCCGCCGCTTGAAGGGCGGCGCCCACCACTGACGTCACGAGCGCGCCGGCAGAGACTTGCTCCGCTTCCGGGCAGACCCGCGCCCGGGCTTTGCGGGGTCCTGCGTGTCCCACTCCTGGGGGGTGGGTCCTGTTGAATGAAGATGGAAGGGGTGTGGGAAAACGGTGGGGCTCGCTTGCTTTCTGCGTCCTCCCTCTCACTACTAGCTATTCCCTAAAAGGCAAAAGCCCCTGTTCTGGCCACAGTGGCCAGAAGAATATACCTAAGGAACTAACAGTAAAGGTAGAGCAAGATCCCGACTGTACAAGACAAGGCCCGGCAAGCCAGCCCAATAATCGCCGCTCCCCCTGAGTTCCCATACAAAGAACAAACCAGTCAGACTCCGGCCAAGCATAACCCCATCACTCATTGTAAGACATTGTGTTTAAATTGTTCCTTTTGTGTTGCTAAAGGTCCCCCCTTGTTTCCTGTACGAAAAGCTGACAGCCTGACAAATTATTGGAAAGCCCTTTACTGCAGTGCCTTTGTGGTTACTGAGCATAAAGTAAGAGAAGAACTGAGGGTTAGTGCTGCAGTTCGGCTCTTAGGTGGGTGAGACGCCGCAACTGTAGCCGCTGGCCAGCTAATAAAGGCTCCAAAATTCAAACACAAACTCTGGTGGTCGTCTGTCGCGGGTCACCCCAGAACAGCCCCCTAAGGCCTCGCTTGATTTTCTTCACGAAATGAGACTTTCATCCTAGGAGGATGGAAACTAGGCAAGGAGATGCCAAACTTGCTGCTCTTTGATTTTAGAAACAGGGTATTTCAGGTCTGAGTGAGGGATAGAGGGCAGATAGCATGACCCTAATATGTCTCACTTCCTTCCCCAGATCAGACGAAGGGAGCTCCCTCCTTCCAGCTCCTGACACCATGAGGCAATGAACTGAGAGCAAAAGTGCATGGCAAGGTTTAATTGTAACAATCCCTGCCCCCTTTACTGAGGTATAATTGCCCAATGAAATTGCAATATATTTAAAGTGCACAACTTGGTGATTTGATATATGTATATGTTGTGAAATTATTACCATAGTCAAGTTCATTAACACAGCCGTCACCTCACATAGTTACTTTTTGTTTTTTATTTTGGTGAGAACCCTTAAGACCTACTCTCTTAGCATATTTTAGTATACAATACGGTATCGTTCATCATGGATACCATGTTGTACATTAGACCCTACGGTATCGTTCATCATGGATACCATGTTGTACATTAGGCCCTCATAACTGAAAGGGACCTTTTTACGAGCTTGTTCCCACTCCTCCTGCCCTCCAGCCCCGAGCAACCATCATTCTACGTTGGTTTTAGGATTCCACGTGTGATATCGCAGAGTATTTGTCTTTCTCTGACTTACTGCACTTAGTATAACACCCTAAGGCCCACATATATTGCCAAAATGGCAGGATTTCATATTTCTCATGGCTGAATAACAGCCCTCTGTGTATATATACATTTCTTTACCCACTTATTCATTGTCAGACACTGAGGTTGTTTCCAGATCTTGGCTGTTGTGCATAGTGCTGCAATGACCACAGGAGTCCAGCTACCTCTGTGAGGCAGTGACTTTATTTCCTTTGGGTATATTCCCAGAAGTGGGATTGCTGGATCATATGGTACTTCTATTTTTAATTTTGTGAGGAACCTCTATACTGTTTTCCATGGGGGTTGTACGTCCCACTACAGTGCACAAAGGTTCACTTTTGGGCCAGGCTTTTAAGAAGCAAGTGTGCATTTTTCTACTCTCTCTTCCTCTGCCTGGAAGAGACTCTGAGCCCTTAGGCGTAATCACTAAGTGGACGGAGCCTGGACCCCTGCCTTAATATGTGGATCACCAGAAATGCCCACATTGGTAGGTTCTGTGAGTGAGAAGTAAACTATTTTGTGAGCTACTGATATGAAGTTTGTTACAGCTGCTGGCAAGACCCTAAATGATATACCCTGTAGATCTCATTGCTCCCCCCCCAGTGCATTTCAAACTCTTTGTGGACTCATTTTTTGATATCTCCAATGTGTCATGGACTGATCCTTTTGGTCTATAGCCTGTTGGACAAGTCTCTTGATCATATACTTGGATGTAATGGCAATGTCAAATTGCTGTAAGTTTCAAAACATTTATTGGCAATTTCTGCACTTACCTTGTTGCAGACCATCAACAGCGGTGGGCAAGTACTGGCACTGCTTCAGCTTATGACATTGGTCTTTTTCTCCATAGGGTTTTCCATTCTCTGTAATTACCTTGCTTATTTAGAAGTCTGTTTGTTTATGGTTTTCTTCCTCACTAGAATGTAGGCTCCTTCAGAAAGGCGTCTTATTTCTTTTTCTCTGTTGTGCTTCTAGTCCCTAGTGCAGTGCCTGGTATGTCTTAGGTGTTCAGAAAGTATTTGTTCAATGATGAATAAATCACGAACTTGATGGCTGGGGGAGCGGGTGAGGCGGGGGAGAAGAGGCAACCCAGACCTGTCACAGAAGTTCTCTACAATCAGAATATGAACCAGATTCTAACCAGTTCACTGACAGCTGCTTGGCTTCCTTTTTTGCTGGTTTGCACCCCAGATTAGGTCTGGCCTTTACAATCCACCTTCCTTAGTTTCCCCCATTAGAGATTATAGGTTTAATCTTTATTGTTGAAAGTATTACAGATAGTCCCTCTTTTCCCCCCATCGGGCCCTCCACCCTGCTCTCGCACCCTTCCCCCATTAGAGATTAGACTGCTCTGAATTGTCACTCTTTGGTGATATGCCTGTCTTCCACCCTGGATTATAAGTTCTGTGGGGGTGAAGTTGGAACTTAACTGGTGACTGCTATGTCCCCAGAGTCAGGCGGCACAGTAACACCCTTTGTTAACATGAATAAATTTGTGGCATGAATGTATGAATGTGGCACGAGGGGAGGCTGCCCTTGGGAAACAATACTCTAACCTTTCTCCCATGGCCCCCATCCCTTGGCAGGGTCCCAGGGTTGGCCTTGAGCTCTGGTCCATTGGGCTGTGCGAGTTACCATTGCTTTCCCATCAACCACCTCACATTGCAGGCTCAGACTGGCAACATTGGGCTCTCTGGACATGGAGGAGCAGAAGTCTCATTTGGCCCACCGATACTTAATAGCCAAGGTCAGTAACGCAGTTGTATATATATTTGTTGGTTTGTTCATGAACTGAAGATGATGTTACCGAGAAAATAAGTCCATCATGTAGAAAGTCAAGATGATGAGTATGATGGAACTTCCCATAAGAATCCCCAAGACTGCGATGTAGAAGACTTGGTGGGAGGTCTCAGCTGCTAAGGCTCGTTCGTTCCATTTGTTGCTGTGCCTTGTCTGATTTGAGGGGAGAGGTAGAACAGGTGGGCTTAAAAGGATTATTGTATAAGAGTAAACTATGGAACTGTATGGACATGAACCCACAGGAGAGAAACAAGGAAGAATTTGAGTCAGGGTTCTGACCCGGAGGAAGACAGAGGGGAGGGCGAGCATTCAGGAGGGGAGGGCATGACTCAGATTCCCACCTGGATGGAGAAGATCAAAGCTATAATGCCTATGGGGAAACACAAGAGGAAGGCACAAATCGACAGGCACATGTAATCTTTGGGGGGCTTGACAGACGAAACTTCAAATGTCTGAGGGGCAGAGAGTGGGTTATGGCTTAGTATGGTTTCTGGACTCTACCATCCCCTATGACATCCCTTTTCACACTAATATCTCTCCTTGGCTCCTATAAATTCTGTTTAAAACTCTCACTGACTATCTAACTCCCAACCTATCACCTCTAACGCTCCCTATCCCCTTTAATATCTCCCTGTCCCCTAGAACTCCCTGCCCCCCCCATGCCCTAATTCCTCACTGTTCCTTGTAACCCTTTCCATGTCTCCTATAACCTCCTTCCTGTTTTCTCTAACTGCCTTGCAGTCCCCTACAGCATGTCTTTCTTGGCCCCATCCTATCTACCCAATCCCTTTCTGACTCTGATGACTCTCACTCATCCTCCCTGAAACCTCCACTAATCCTCTATCACCCCCCCCATAATTGCCTCATTGTCACACAAGCAACTGTGTCTTTGCCTCTATAAAACACCCTACTAAGAAGACCCTCAACTCAACCCTGTAACAGCCTCACTTTATCTGTAAAACCTTCGTTGCTCCTTATAAAAACTGTCATCCTATAAAACTTCTAATGCCACCCATAGCTCTCCTCTTGTCCCATTCATAACATCCCACACTTTGTCCCTGTGAATCTGTCTGGTCCGGCTTGATCCATAAAGTCTCACTAGGCTTCTCTAAGTCATCCTTTGAGCACCTATGAACTCCAAGTCCTCCTCATGCCACTCGTAGCCTTTTCTCTGACCCTTTATAAAGGGCTGCCCTTCCTACCTCGGAGACCTTCTCTCTGCCTCTCCGCCTAGCTTTCTGCCCCTACAGTTCCTTCTGGTCCACGCATTCCAGCCCCCCTGTTCTAAAGCTGTGCTCCCTCTAAATAGTCATCTATTTTTAACGGCCCCTTTGCCCGCTTCTGAAGCCCTCCTTGCCCCCTCACTCCCTCTCTAACTCCTTCCCACCTGCCCCCATACATTCCCTCCCTGCCCCCCTCAAACACCCCCATCTGGGTATCTGGCTCTGGCCACAAGCAGCCTCTCCCTCACTCCAACCCGCTGGGGATTGCCATGGAGACCACGCAGGCCCCGCCTCCCACCCTGGCTTTCTCCTGCTATTGGCTGATTGGAGGTTGGCCGTCCCACCGCGAAGCCGCTGGCACTCGCCCGGCTGCTGATTGGGCGGATGGAGTGCCGGTCCTTCCTACTTTCTTGTGTGATTGATCAATCCAGGGAGTTTTATTTATTTATTTATTTATTTATTTATTTATTTATTTATTTATTTATTTATTTATTTATTTATTTATTTATTTTTGGTGTTGTTTTTATAAGTTCTTTACAAATTTTGGAAATTAAGCC